GCCATTGGAGCGGAGATTGATTCCACGTGTCTCGTAGTGGCGCCTCCGACTCCTTTTATGAGGCATATGTAAACGTAAATGACTGTGGTGTGGATGTAAACATGTCGTCTCCAAAACTGACTGCAGAAGGAGGAGGAGTTCACAGTAACGTCAAGCATGGTTCTTTGAAAATTCTTAGCGCTCACTCGAATAACACTATATTGATGTTCGGAGCACAGTGATCAAGAAGTTGCTTTACAGTTCTTGCAATTCACATATACAATCTAAAGTCGCTACTGTAGAAGTTTAAAGAAAAATGTCCCATACACTGGTCACACATAGCGGTGATCAGCTGTGCCAATTTCACCTACAGTTCTGGAAACTATTTTGCTGTTTGCTATGCGATGTTTCGGTAATCCTTTGTGACAACTAATACAGTGCCTCAGTACTTTTATTACTAGTTCTCCCAAGATATGAGGAGTGGAAGGCGGTGAGTGTACCACTACCAATCTGAACTAAACTGAAGTAGACTTGGATCATGAGGATTCTCCTCAGCTCACTCGTCGCCATTCTCATGACAGACCGTCCATTCGGTCATCGAACAAGTCCTAGTAATTGCCTAGAAGAAATCCCGTATATGACTAAATTATGAAGGAAAATGATTATATGCATCATTTGTTATTCTAATGAAACAGAAGCAATGATTTTAGATTTTGCCGTTATGAAGTTCGTAAATAGATTTTGGAATAAATACTTAGTGCTTAAATCCATGTTGTACAATATTTTGTTCCCTATTTCATTCTTAACAATTTTCCATGTAAGACTTCTCCTAATACTTTCTTAGATTATTTAACTAACAAGAAATTGATAAAAAGACTTATTGGGCCAACGCTTCGACTCCGTTTTGCCCAGAGGCGAGTGTTAGCCTAATAATCTCGGAAGGTATCGACTATCAATGCCGAGAGTAAATGATGCCGGTTTGAAAGATATCTCTTCCAACATTTTATCTTTAGCGGCTTTATCCTGATTTGAACAATGTTCTCACCGCATGAAAATCACTTCCTTTCTGTTTCATGAATTCACACAAATATTAAGCAACGGTGAAACTCACAGGTCATCAGAACAGATGTCATGGAAAGGCTTGCAAACGTAAAATGCAGTTGGACCTTAATGTTTCGTGCCGAAAGGATACGTCTTAATAACAAAGGCCCATCAGTAGTTGACGAGGAGGATGGAAGGCAATAAGAGGAGTTGACCCTCTCCACAAACTGTTCGAGACGCTGGGTCACTGAATTCGGGAGAATTCAAGGTCATTCCTTAAACAGCCCTTCAGCATTTAGAAAGCTGAAGATGATGATGAAAAAGATGAAAAAGTGGAATAAACTAGCGATAGAAGAATTGAGCAAGTCGTCGTGAAGTTTGTTCTCCGCTTCTTCTACGCAACAAAACGACTCATTTCTCGTCGGTATCTCCCTCTTCTGGAGGACACATTTATGTACAAAAACTGGTTTAGAAATCTTGCAGGCGGAATCAGGGCTTGAACTAAGGGGTTAAAGCTCCTGCATATACATTGTTGGTTCGCAGCTGTTAGTACCTTCACAGTCCCATAGATTAGTTTTTTACTTTGTCACTATTTACTTCTTTGAACAGATTCTTTTCCATGCCTCTCATGTAACCGATTGAAATAAATCCACTCTGATGTTGAGTCTTCATGGACCGCTTCGTTTTTTCGTTGATGCTCGTATCTCAGACATATCTTAGATTGGACACCATCGGGAGTGCCGAAGTTCAATGGAACCTTCTAGAGGTATTTTTTCAGTGCATGGAGTCATCGGTAACAAACTGCAATATTTCTGATGCACTGCACAGGTCCTAAGAGTTGAATTATTGGCAGGTATGACCTATACGAAATCCGGGGTCGGTCGATGTATTCTCAAGAAATACACAGTCCACTCTGAATAGTTCTCCAACGGGATTCGTAATCTTTGTTTCCACCATCGAGTAATGAAGCGCTAGCTCCCATTACCTCATCATCCACACTAGTGAAGACCATCACAGAAATATTCATAACTAATATACATTTTAATAGAAAGTTTTCGACTGGTGCCTATGATCATCAAGGACTGAATTAAATTGTTTTGGCTATGACATACACCAATACCGTGAAATTTCATGACGAAGATGCAATCAATCAGATGATTTCTTACCTCCATACCAAACTGACGCCGGTAAAGAAATTTTCGGAAAACTCTATAATCACACTTTAAGAAAGTAAGGACGATTCCAACAAGTAAATTATGGAGAGGTGCTGCTTTGTCATCCAGATTGTCAGGACTTTGGAGTAGTTGTCTAACAGCACCGAGTGCTTTAAGGTACTGACACAGAGCACCGTTATGAGTGAACCATCTCCAAGACTGTACAAGTTTCCTTATGAGATCGGTGGAAAAAAGTCTGTCTGCTTCTGCATGGCCAGAATTGGAAGTGGGAACGAAGAACACTGGTACCCTCGCACAGATGCGAATACTTTTTCATAGTCGACCCAAAAGCAGAAAGACTAAGGACACAATTTTAATAGTCACATAATTGATTTTCTACATAAGCGATATCCTCGGGTATAGAAAATAACTGCTGTAGTAAATCCACTCCAAAATTACGTCGAACACAATGGTACCCTTTCACAATTGAATCACGTTGCTCTGATGCAGTGCAACTTTTGAACATTGCTTTATAAAGGAGATACGAAGTCTAATCTATTTTCTGACACAGCTTTTACTCAGTTTTTTGCGACAAATAGAGTATTCGAGCATACGTCGATACTGAAACACCTGATTCCAACCAGCTTCACAGAGGACGTGACGACATGTGGCCGACACAGGATTAGAAACTGTGGGACGGCTGAAAACAGCATCAATTTTATTTTAACATATCCACCGGCAACGAAGCTATCACTACCACAAATACATTATTACCTCACTTTTAAAATCACGAACACAACTTCTAATCACTTATTCAATTAATGGTCCCCTGTATCGGTCGTGTTCCTGCAGTACGTTTGACATCCCAAAGAATACAGGCACTAACGGCTTTTGTCCACCGGATGTCGTTCTCACACCGTGTAGAATGGCATCTTTGATTGCTGATCATTAACTTAGGTCGGAGCTTAAGATCCCTTCCCTTTCTTATATGATACGAAATACTCCTAGCATCGTCCCTTCGCCAGCGCGTTCAATAACGCTGAATGATCCTTCATCTTGCTTACACAGCGACCAGCTTTCTGACGGATACAATAAGGCAGGAAGTATCGTAGGGTCGAAAAAGTGGGCACGGAGTCGGGTGTTCTTTGTTTTCTTCACTACACCGATGCTCCTGAAAGCTCTCACTAAGCCGCTCGTTTCCATCCGATCAACTTTGGAGCTAAGTCGATCGCCGTGTTGATTTTTCGACCTAGATAACTGGAGCAGCCGGAGACATTCGTTCCGTTGAGCGTGAATGGGACATACGAAACCAGTCCGTTCCTCATGAACATCGTTTTTGTGACATTTAGTAGAAGACCAATTTTTCCACAGTCTTTATCAAAGTCGGAAAGCAATCGTTCTACCTGGCTAATGTTTGGTGTTATAAGAACGAACTCATCAGCAAAACGAAGATGGTGCGATTGCCGCCCATCGATTTTCACTAGCATTTTGTCCCAACCCATTGTTCAACTGACGTTTTCCAGCGTTGCGGTAGAAATTTTGGCGAGATAGTATCGCTCGGCCTGACCCTTCTTTTGACGTTGACGTTAATGTCTTTGTAGAATGGTGATAGCTTTATTGTAAAATTTTTAAACAACTCATGAAGAATCTATATGTACTGAATAAGAACTCACTGACTGTCCAGCGCTTCCATAACTACTTTCTCGATTGAGTATAAAGCCTTCTTTAAATCGATGAAAGTGAGACACAGCGGTCTTTTGTACGATCGGGATACCTCAATGAGTCTTGTTATCATATGAGTGTGGTCCATCGTATTAAAACCTTTTCGAAACCCTGCTTGCTCACATGGCTGTCCTTCGTCCAGTGTTCTGTCCTTTCTGCTTAAGATGACTCGAATGAAAAGTTTGTACACGACACACAGTAGGCAGATTGGGCGATAGTTGCTGATATCGTGGAGGTCGCCCTTCCATGACACAGTCTAGCTGGTCTTCCAGTGAGAAGGCGCCTTGCATCCAGACAGGTAACGAGTGACGAGTCGAGCCAGTATGTTTACGAGGACTGGCGGAAGGTTCCTCAGGTGTTCGGGTTTTATCCTGTCCGGATCTGATGCTGTTCGATTTTTCACCGACGAAACAGCATGTCTGATTTCGGAAAGGAGAACCGATGGTATGATATATCTATCCTCCTTTAATTCATATGAGAGAAATAGGGTGAGGCTATTGAAGAGATCTGAGTAGTATTTGTGAATGATTTTCTCCACCGCATTACGGGAAGCTGTAACTGTTTTGTGGGGCGTCGAAGTGCAATCATTTCGGTTTTGTAGTCCGAAGGCGCAATCTTCAAAAAATCTTTTGGTTGGAGTCGGTTTGATGGGTCATCCATCATGTTTGCTGCTGTTGTAATGTAGCCATACATTCGTCTTGATTGCATACGCCTTTTTGGTTTTCCATTCCCTTCCACAAATGTCGGCCTCTCTCATTTTGTCTCTGAAAACAACGTCCACATGAATTCAATCGTTCCCTTATGCTTTTTAACTACTGTCATATCGTCTTCACATGTATAAATAGTCGTATGAAAATAGAGCAAAGAAGATAAAGTAAAAGTAATTGATCTCGACTAAATTGTTAGGAATTCTTAGAAGTTCTACGGTGACAGCTAGGTGACAGTTCGGTAATTCGCTTGTGTAGATAATCTAAGCTAAATAACATCTGATACATCGTCCCTAGCTCGACAATCGAAATGAACTCGAACTTTGTCGAGGAAGTATGGAGAGAGCGAAAGAGAGAAGGAGTGGGAGAATGAGAGAACAAGTGTGAGTTTGGAGGGATGAGAGATCGAGAAGGAGAGCCAGAGAAAGAGAGTGGACCGAAGAGAAAGAAGGTTAAGTAGAATCAGCATTCACTCTGAGGCCCGCTCATTTTCAGACATGTGTTTTTAACAATTGTAGAACCTTCTGGCAATAGAATACCAAATTGATTGTAAATCTACAAATTGGCAACTGTGTTTCATCTGTGCAACTGTGCTTTGTTTATCGCGTTTTTCTCACTAAAATACGAAATCGATTCTCCCTTGGTGCTAAATGTGGTAGGAGACACCTCGTTTCTGATCTAGTTGCATTGTTTTCCAGAAGGATTTCAGAACAACCGAGTCTTGGGAGGACCATGGAAGAACTGGGAGAAGAAAAAAAGTGGAAGAAGGAGAGCTTTTTCAAGAAGTACTTCTGTGAAGGTTTGTTCATTTTGTAACAGATGTGAAGAAGAATCGCATCTACTTGTGCATGCCAGCGCGTCTAAGCACAACGTTTTTCTTGAGGTCAGCACCTGGACGAAAGCTGGAATTCACGAGAAGTCGCGGATGATGCGGATCTCATCGACGTCGTGCTCGTCAAGTACAGAAAATACGTGGCCGTGCTCATTCCTCTCGTTCTGATGCAGGTCAATGTTATTTGTTTCCTCCATGATTTCGTTTCGGTTGAACGAATCTCATTGCTTCCTTTTGTGTAATTCGCTACTTTTTGATGAGTGACCCTCGTGATTTCGAGTACTGCAATGCAAATAGAAAATAGTATGCTGAAAACCAGCCTCAGCGTCCCGTATCAAAACTTAGTTGGTACGGGTACACTCTTCCTTCCTGCTATATTAACCTTAATCACATGTATTAATTCAATTAACAGTTTGACACCAGCTGGCATCAAGAAAATTTCCATTTGTCCCTTCCCGTTGGAAGATTGTAGGTTCTGTTTACTGGAGATTAGGAACGGCTTTGTTCTTACAGTTTTGACGATAGCTACTGATTTGAAAAACCAGTTCTGTCTCGGAGCTGAAGTGAACCTACTTTTGAAGAAAACTAGCCACCGCTTTTCATGCACTTCCTAGTTAGCTATTTTCCTAGTTACTCAGCTGCAAACACATCAACTCACTCATGCATGATTATGATGACATAGAGATAGAACCTAAAAGCATTGATCACCTTTGTGGAATCGAGTGGAATCCATAATGGCCGTCACATTGGAGTCGTTTAAACACAGATCTTCCCCACTAACGGATCTCCATCCGCTCACAAGGCCACGTGGATGGCTCTCTAGGTAAAGTACAGGGGTTGAAGGCACATCAAATCCAATCTTGTACATCTCTGAAATACCGATAGATTCGAATAATGAGCTTCACCCTTCCGATGTGCTCGATCAAGCTCGACCTTTTGTGTATACGGGAACATATTAATGCACATGTGCGAAATTACTTGATACTTGAGTGAGCTCTCCTCATTGGCTGTGCGGGCCCCAACATAATCTCCAATTTTCGAAGATTTGCTGGTTAAGCCATAGTGGTTCCCTGGAATCCCAAGGTCAGTCTGGCCAAAGTTTGCCTCAGGTCTTTACCACGACAGGCAGTCGCAGCCCTTATGGATCAGTGGGAGATTTACCTACCACTTTGCGATTTTGATACCAGGACGGTGGTGGATCCGTGCGATGGTTTACTCCTAGCTAGGCTTCCTGATGGAAACGCCGGACTCCTTCTCAGCTTGGGAAAACCTGCCGGGGATGAATCTACCGCTGTACATAGCAGTCCGACACCTAGAACCATCCCCCAGCCACGATGAGGTTAACCATTGGGAGCTACTGTCATTTAAGGCTGCCTAAATATGGAGAGACTATTGTGATGATACGCTCATTGACATCTAGGGCTCATGATGAAAGCTGATCAGGCGTCATTGGACTGGCAGGAACAAGAGGATGTATGGATCCACATCATCACAGTAAATTGAACGTTTTTCCTAATCGACGTCTCCGTTATCTTCAATATTAAGAGAGATCGCAGCCAGCATCGCCTTTTTCTTTCAAATTTCTTTTTCCCTATAATGAAAAAAAAGCTGTAAAAACGTGAGATTCCAAAACCACCATAAACTCGGATTTATTAAAATCACTGAACGGTTTTTGGTGCAGTATCGTTACTGACAACTTCGATGCAACGTACGTAGTCTGCATGCAAAACTCCGGACCACATCTGCGGTGGGGATCAAACTCGCTATTACCCTTTCCGAGGGCTAACGTGTTCACCACCACCCCATGTGTGTATCTCGTTTTGCTTTTTTTTCAGCTAGTTTTCTTTCTGCTATGGTTGTATTTCACATAATACGTTGCCGTGAATTTGTAGTAGGCAGTAAGTTAAAAAAGTTATCATTGTTATTTCGACTACTGCTTCATTTTAACTGGGTTCAATGCCGATTTGTGCTCTACAGATCATTCCCGTTGACGAGTGATTGTTGATGGCAGCGTTAGGTAGGAAACTAGCTGAGAGAGAGGCAAACCGAAGAACCTGCATGGTGTGGTAGTAAACGCGTTAGTCCCCGGAAAGGACAATAGCGCGTTCGTTCCCCACCGCAGACACTTTCGGTCTGGAGTTTTGCAAATACCTTAGCATTATTGTGTTGCCTTTTACATAATACCTTTCCGTGAAAAATTTTAGTAGGCAGTAAATAAAGAAGTCAGCAATTATTTTACTCAAGCTGTCCACATTCGCGCTAAAAAAAATACACACAAGATTTCAAAAATAGTTAAGAGACGTCTGTATGCAGAAACACTCCAGATGACATGTGAACGTGGAATCGCATTGACCGTGGGCAATCCTCGGCCTAGTTACAACTTGTAAAGCACTGCTGTGAAGCAACATGAAAATATTTTGTGAAGGGAATGGCAGCAATACCAGCTCGATGTACAGAGCTTGGGGAGGAGACATATGCAATGCTTGCCGAAACGTTGTCAATTATAAGGTAGATTATAAGGGGATACCTTCCGATGCCAAGACAGAGGAGCTACGGCTTCTGGAAAGACTATGGAGGAAATCATCCGGAGCAATTACTTTAATCTCGTTAACAGCGATGTTTCTCTGTCTTCATATTAAATTAAGGAGGACGAGTATATCGGCACAGATGTTCTCTTCTCCAAACTTCGACATGCAATTTCGCCGACCAAGAAACAAACACTACGTTATCTAGACAGGATAAAAGCCAAACATCTGAAGAATCATCCACCACCCCTCACTAAGTAAGAGTCACCTCCACGATATCGGCTAGTGTCGCTCAATTTGCTTTCTGTCTACCGTCTACAAACTCTTCACTGAAGTTATGCCAAACAGGACTGAGAGAACACTGGACGAAGGGCAGCCATGTGAGCAAGCAGGGTTTTGAAAAAGATTCAGTACGGTGGACGAAGTCCACACGATAGCGAAACTCATTGAGGTAGCTCCGGAGTGCAAGAAACCTGCTCTGTCTTATTTTTATCGACTTAAAGAAGGCTATTAATTCAGTCATAGAGCTCTGTACTGAGTATGCTATACCTCATCATGATACAGTGATCCTTCATGCGCTATAGAGCAACTTTATTACCAGAATTTAACCATTTTACAACAACATTAATGTTGACGTTAAAACAAGCGCTTGGCAAGGCTGTAGCACAAGCCAAATCTATTTAAATCCGTTCTCCATAACGTCATGCGAAAACTTTGATTGGTAGAGATGGAGATAAGAAATTGTACTGATCAACGTGAGAACAGGTTTCAAGGTGATCTTCGTGGAGCCTGTCATATTTTATATGGTTTCTCACCAGAATGATATCAAATTTTCCAACTTTTGTAGGTTATTGAAAGCATTTAAGTAGGTTAGAAGACATTTAAAGATGTAGGAGAGAACAAAATGGTATCTCATTACTTTAGCAGGTGATTTTAGACACTTTGGTGGTTAACGGCTATTCGCTATTCCTGGCTGTCGTTGTATGCAACACATTGGCATCTTCCGGCGACCATGATAGTCGGATCAACCATCGCAGGTTTTTACCCTGTTCATTTTTAAAAAGTTTCCTTAGAAAATCATAAAACCTATTAGGCAACTAGTTGATACAAAATGGAGATGCCATCAAAAGGTCGGAGAAATGAAAAGGTCAAAACAGTCCAGTTCCAAAGTTAAGACGCAAAATCTTTTCGGTTAGACCCACCTGTCTAGTTGTGCTTCATCAAAGGCACGAAATCTTTAGGCAAAAATGATCACATCCTCGTAGCGTAGACGTTTCCGAGCCCTAGCCAATAAGAAGGAGCACCATCATGCCTCTCGAGATGCTGCGATGCAAACTGCATCGCCTTGATATTCTTTTTTTTTTTAATGAAGCAACGCTATTAATGCAAGGCGGTTTTTCAGTAAGGAACGCCGGATTTCCCATTATTAATGTTTCAGTCGTTTACTCCTTGCTGAAACAGCCTTTCTAGTTTCGACCTAGGTTTCAATTAAAATGAAATGCAGACGTTAGTCGTGAAATACAAGTGACATCGTTGGTTCGAGTCAGCACAGGACCAATTAAGACTTTTCGATTCGGGAAATTTGCTACCACACTAGGGAAAGGATAAAGGATAAAATCAATGAATTAACAGGTCGATAAGTCACATGAAACCAGTCAAAGCCAAATACTTATCACTTGGAGGATGCTGCGTTGTGTCGAATGCATAGTGCATTCCTAAGGGTAAACTAATCCCGAACATTTTATCTTTTGAAACCGACCGTCATTAAACCTCGGTAATAAAATAATTCAGGGCCCATGTGGGGTAGTGGTTGAAGGCGCCACTGCGACGCAAACGTGGAATTAATCCCTTGCCCATGGCCCACCAAACCTTCCATCCCTCCAGGGTCGGCAAATTGGTACCGGACTTGTCTAGACGGTTAGCAGGTACTGAATCTATACATCGATAGGCCACCGCGAGTCATTGTAAAGGCCAGATAAGCATTCAGTCACCTCCAACGGTACTTACTGAAGTCGAATGCATGATGCATCCCTCAGAGATTGATCAACCCCGAGAGATTTATCCTTTTTTTTATCCTTTAGTAAAACAGTCAACATTTGCTTATATTGTTGAGATTACGCGAGATTGATGAGAGAGACTTTATCTTTTCTTCTTTAATGAATGGACTCATTACACGTGTTAGATGTCGCCAATCTCTGGTAAGAAACGAGGGTTCGTTAGAGGGTGGAAGCAGTTATTACTCCAATCTCCCTAAATTATCACGATTTTAAACACTATGTGTGAGTCGTTACTTCACGGTTGCCGACATTCAGCAACTCTATCTTTCCAACTCATTCACTGATTTCCCCGGGCAATCCTGTGGCCCAGGGAATGTCTCCGCAGTCCACTAATCTCTCCGGGTACAGAACTCGTGCATACGTTTTGCGGACAGCGCGCACAAGGCTTGCGCCACACTGCTCGCACACGTGTTATCGCAATACGACATTGGGACAGCGTAACTCATAAAATACGTTATTCCAGACGCTTTTTGTCTTTTATCAGCTATCAATAAATTTAGTATGGTTACTGCGTCGCTGATTTAGTTTTGTCCATAAGTGGCAAATGACTATCCAGTACAATTTTCGTGATATGGCAACGTTAATTGTGAGTTTCTAATGCTGAAGAGCGATGACGTCATTGAAACTACGAATTACTAAGTCTTCGATAGTAAAAATGTTATGAACAAAATTCATTATCTAGCCTGGATTTTCTAAAAATTGTTGTCTTTTTTATATGCTTGCTTTCAAATGCACATTTCGCAGTGCATTTATTCCATGACGGTAAATTACTTACTTACTTGAATAATTGAATGGCCCGTCCTCACTGGTTGTGCGGACCCCAGCACGTTTGCCATTTGTCGTCCATGGAGGTGGATCTATTCGAGCATAGTGGCACGTGCGAGTCTCTTACTGTGATCTGTAAAAAAAATGAAATGAAATGAAGTGAAATGAGCCCATATGCGGTGACCATTGACTGAACCGTTTTTTTCGATTTCCTGACATAAGTAGAAGTGGAAATGTGCCTGGTATTTTAGCGCTGAGATGCAGTTGTTGACAGCAAGGAAAAACAACCATTTAACTGCAAAGAATCTTCAGGGATGACATCGGAAGGAGGAGGAGCGGTCGCGTTCCCGGTGATGACGCTCGGCTTGGGAATCGCTCCGACGGTGGCGCGAGATTTCTCGTTGATCGTCCAGTCTATAGGTACAGCGTTAGCAAACTTATAAATTTGACGACTTTAAGTGACTATACGTATACGTTCCAAACAGCACGTGAGCAAGCGAGTGTTGGTTTAGTGAATATGGAAAGGATCTTTGCGAATTTGTTGAGATCCGAACGTGAGCAGTATGGACAAATGGTGAAATGAAGAGAGAAAAACTTGACCGTGACACGCTCGGCTTTCCTAGGCAATTCTCTGATCATCACACTGCCTTCTTTCAGGAATGAGTTGTGCAGTGTTTGTGGTCGTCTTCATGAACGTACAAATTGAGAAACGAGCCGTTATCTTCGGTATGCTGGGTTCGGTGCCCGGATTCGTCTTCGGATCATTCCTAGTTGGTGACCTTTTCCTTAGCATTCGCCAGTAATCTATATTCTTACCGTTCTGGTCAAATGAAACTCGGTCACCTCTATTCATTGCACACTGCAATGTACGACATATCACAGAACTACTAGGGAGTTCCGTGTATGCTGTATGTGTCGTAGGAATTTAAAACGCTTTGCACTTTGCGATATATGGCAGTTCTTAAAAAGAGTGAACTATTTATAAAATGGGAGACTTTTAGCATATGTTAAAATTGATTGCAAATGATAATCTTTCATGGATAGAATGTTAAGCACCGGGTGAGCCCAATGGCAGTAACATACACGCATTATTGAAGAGTGTAAACTTAGCCCAATAGCGGCCAGTTTGTTAACCCCACAGTTGACCTTGGAAAGATGAAAGCTACGACTAGCCTAACAGCATCAGAGAAGGTAAGAGTGCGCCTTGTCACATTGTTACTAGGAACATGTATAGACTTGTGAGGAGCGTCCAGGAAGTACTTCTTCAAGGTTGCTTTTGTCCTATAGAAGGACATTCGAGGATCACTCTCATGAAGGTCTACTTAGCCTATTTCTGCTCTTGTTCTCAAGCGTAGGATCTTCTCCAAGGTTCTGAGTTATGAATTTATGCCAAAGCAATCAAAGTTTAAACGGTTTTTAAACGATTTCGGAACTCGCAAGACCAACCTTCCGTTAACCTCGGCATTGATTGATAATTCGATGTTTTTCTTCAATAAGCAGAAGCGAGGTTGTTATTATAGAATCTATTGGGATACAATAGCTCGAAAGACCGACTTTCTATAAACCTCGGCATAGGTATTTGATATATTTATTTATAAGATCTTATAAACTGATCTTCTTAAGCTGACGCGAGGTTGGTAGAACAGGTCTTCGTTGTCGTTGTCGCACGTAGCATCACAGCTCTGAGGAAGGCGAAGTCGCCGAGACGTCAACCATCGACCAACAACATCAACAACAACGACAACGACAACGAAGACCTGCACTACCAACCTCTCGTCAGCTTAAAAAGATCTTACATTATACTTCCACGTGATTTCTGTGCGGTTGGTCTCTACGTGACATACTTAGTGGAAACCTCATAGAAAGCGGCTCCGAAGAAGGCGAAATTCGCCGAAACGTCAGCTTAATCGTGAACAAAGAATAGTAACACCTCGCGTTTGCTCAACAAAAGTACGAAGAAAATCACTTAGAAAGATCAATTTATGGGATACAATAGCTGACGCTTCGGCGGTTTCGCGCCTTCTTAGGAGTCTGGAAAGGTCAAATTGAGATGCGATCAACTCGGCCAAACACTTTCAAAACACCAGGAGATAAAACTTAACAAATAAATTTACATTCGCATAGGAAACAGCTTCATTTCAACACCTACCGTATATTTGTTGCAAGTATTTAAGTTAGTTGATGGATAACAGCCGCACAGAGTAATACATGGGCAAGGACTTCGCCTGTGTCAGGTCATTTGATTAGCCTGAGGTATGGCACCAGGTCACGCATGATGACAAGACACTCCTCCTTGCGGTCCATTTTTGAATTTTTGGAATTGATCCAAACTCTTCAAGGGCTTTACGCGCTGATGTTTTCGATTCGTGCGTGAGGATAGTGACTCCCACTTCAAAATCTCCGTTGTGTTCCTGCATCCCATGCGCACCTAGTGGAGTATTTGGTTTTAATTTAGATTTACCGACTAGGTGTTCTTTTATGCGGACGCAGAGCGGTCTACCCGTCTCGCCACCGTGTTCGCCCCCACACGCTTTATACTCTACCGTTAGGTCAAATTATGCAGTTTTTCGTTGAACATAGACAGTCATATAGGCGGTTGCGAACTAGATGGCGTCTTAGAGTGACCGATGCTATTCCTATCCTTGTTCAGCAATCGTGAGGTTTTTAAACAGCATACATTTACTTCCATAGAGAAACACAATACAATACAACACTGGCTGACGTTTCGGGAGTATCGCCTTCTTCAGAGCCGCTTTTCGTGACTTCCAATGAGGAAGTTTAGAACAGCTGATTATAGTCTCATACGGTTGACGACGACGACACTTCCTCGTTGGAAGTCACGAAAAAGCGACTCTGAAGAAGGCGATACTCCCGAAACGTCAGCTAGTGTTGTATCCTATTGTTTCTCTATGGAAGTAAATGTGTGCTGTTTAAAAACCTCGCGATTGCTGAACAAGAAAACGACACATTCATATTCCAATGCCGAGATTAATAGAAAGTCGATCCTGGGAGCTATTCCTATCACTCTTACGGAATTCTCTAGACCGGCCCTTATTAAGCCGCGTTTTATGGCTGCACTTATTTCGTTTGAAATAAAGGGCAAGAGGAACGGAGCGTTGTTTTCGCTAGAATTATCGCTCTGGGGCGTGGTTTTTCTTCTATGCTTATGCCGAGAAGCTACGGTTTCGTAACCATTTGAAGTGTCGTCGTTTGGCGTGCCAGTTTCGAGGATTCTTCCCTCTGCTCTCTACCTATGCACACGCTGACAGCGGTTCGAAACATATTTCTTATAAGCGCCCTTTTAGTGTGTGAGGAATGAGAGGGAGGTAATGAACCACTATTCTTACTGCTTGGCTTTCCGTACCATTTTTTAATGTGGGGCTTTTGGATAGGTTAGTTCCGAAAATCCGTCCGAAAATGGAAGCCAGTTTTTTTCCGGTTTCTCACGGGTGAATTTTATGTACTCTGACTGTTCGTTCAATAACTCAAAGCATTTGTCCATCGCCTCTTGTGTGGAGCAGATAACAAAACAATCATCTGTATACCTACAGTAAAGTAATGGCCTGAGATCGATTACTGGTGCTTCCACTTTAGACATAAAGGCAACGGCAAGGGTTGGTGCCAGTAGCTGTCCCATTGCCAATCCTCTAATTTGAGCGTAATATTTCCCAGATTTCGGAACTAACCAGGTAGGTAATGTTCGAAGTCCACTGCTTATTCGGCTTGCTATTTTATTGGTCCGAAAGTTCACCGACTTTTCTCATCTGTTTAACCAGCTTCTCTCTCTTCTCTCTTTTGGACCATTATCCGCGGCGACTGGTCATCCATATGCGACCGTAGTCTCTATTATCGGTCGTTACCCATATTTGATGTGCTTAATATTTGTCATACTTTTTCTATAAACGCTGTCTTTTCTCACTGATTTCCATTATGCTGTTGCTATTCTTTTACTAAGCTTTAAAAACACCAATTTTACTTTTCTGAATATTTTCACGTCACCGGCAAGAGGAATGTAACATTTCTGTGGAGTCCAAATTTTACTGAAGATTAGGTTGAATCTGATCAGCGAGCACGGTCACCTTTACTAACTTCTCAATGAAGCACAGCAGCTGCTTGGTTTGGTGGTAATTTTCTACTATTCTTTTTCACAACGGCCCCAAGAACGAAGCCTGATACACGTTCCAGATTGAGTTCGTTCATTTTGTTTCTGGGATTTCGTGTTGACTGCGGGCAGTTGTTTTTTTAAATGACCCGTCTTTCACATCTGTTCGGATCTCAGCACTTCTCGAATTCGATTGCTTTCCTTGCATACATCATCCACGAACGTCTTCCAATTTCTATGTGTGGCTTCAGCTGCTACATTGACGATTTTGACTGCGATAATTACGCATCGAAAGTGGTCGTATGCTTTTGGAGACCGATCGAAATCTTGTCTTGTCCAATGACGGCGCTAGTCTTCGCTTCCGCAGCTTGATTCAAGAAAATTCTTGGTAAAAGCACTTCAGCCCGAATATTAGAACTTGACGAATGAAGACTTTCTAGAGGGAAATGGTTTTGATAGAATCTTTATGGTAAATATGTGACTCTATCTCGTTTCGTCTGATTTCGTTAGGAAGAACTGGTTGACGTCTTTCGTATATCCGATACTACTTCATTAGAACCGGATTCTCGGATTCTCGGACTCGGATTCTATCTAGCGTGGATTTCATGTGTTAAGTTTCGCTTTAAGTTCGTTTTATCTAGAAGAGTATTCTCTGATATAAGGAACTAGCCCGTTTCGACAATTAGTTTTTCGCATAAGGTAAACGATTACGTGTTCCCTAAAAGAAAGATTGTGCTGATTTCCTCTTCTGTTTGTGAGATCTCGACTGATATCCTTCAGTACAGACCATGCCGAAGAGTGGCTCAGCTGCAGTGAGTATAATTCACCGTGGGATAATTGAAAGAAAGGTGACCTTTGAAAAAACTTCTGTGTTAACTGTAAACACCTATTTCAAATTTTTGCCTTAGTCGCTAGAAGACCTTTTCAAGCGCATTCCAACTGGGTTAAGTTTATATAAATTTGGTCAGAGATTGCCTTTAGTGCAAAAATCTCACACCTTAATAAGTAGATCCTTTCGTTCAGATCGATCCTTTGTTGACAGCGCCACAGAAGAAGATGCTGTTCGTGTCGATCTGGTCGTCGTTCGCCATCGCGCTCTACATGCTCAATGACGAGAAACGCAGGAAGACTTACCTGGTGATTCCGGTGTTCAAACTATGGAAAGCACTTGTACTCGTGTGCACTGGAATTGTTGGAGGTAGCGCAGAAGGTGTCTTGTTTGAAAAGAAATCCTTTAGTGGTGCTACTAGACACAAAAACAACTGTCGGTGTCGATTGGCAGCGGTTAAGTTGGTGAAGGTTTTTTCAAAAAAAAAAGTCTAAATTATTGTAAAAATGGCGTTGTTGAAAGTGAAGCCTGACGTGTGTGTTAGATGAGAAAGGTTTCTGCTCATTTGACTGTTTTGTCATTCGTTTTACAACGTTCGCAGAGGAGCTTGCGGGCAGGGAATCTGGACTTCTAGCCATGTCGGGCAGATTTTCTAGGACTTCATCGTTTTCATGGCAACACTTCTGTATTTGAAAACATTGTATTATATGACTCTTCTAACCAAAGACGAAGAAGTCATCACAATGGTATTTTAGTGCAAAATACATATTGAAAAACACTGAAGAACTTCGCCTTATCCTAGTTTTCCTGTTGAATATCATCCTTTAGCATATATGATCGCTGTATGTCACGATACGATCGAGAGATGGTCGTATTTACAGTGCAGAAGAAGCTCACAATAGACGATCTCGATCTTGATGACGATCTCGTTATGACTCATTCAATTATTGCGACACCTGTCTATTTAGCATCTTTCCATTGTTTTTCGAAAGAAGAAGGATTCCAAAATTCTTCTCAAGTTCTTAGACATTTTTTGAAGGAACAAGTTTGACGATCGGTGTCAGGTAATCGTCGCCAAATGCTGATAGGCCTCTACTTTCTGCGCCCTTAAGGCTCATAGTTGCGGTGCGAAACCTTGGAACAATCTGCTGTGCGCTTTGTGCTTGGAGGCTCTTCTATGGACGAGTGTTGTTCACATTTCGAGTTGCTTCTATGTCTATGCTTCCATGAATTTATGAAGCGAAACCATAGAAAGCTGTAATAGCGATATTCCGTAATCTCCGAGATATTCAGTACTACCGAACTAAACCCAAATGCAAACCGAAGATCTTTGCAGATGACGGACGTAGGATAACGGATCGAATTAAGGAACAACGAAATCTGCCCGATATGTGAAGTCTGGTAATAGAAGTAAAATAAACAATCGAATAGCTACAGATCTCACGGCGATGAAAACGGTCATTGTACGAACCCTAGGGAGGTTCAGAACTAAATGCGTTTTCTGCCAACGTAAACGCTTTTGTCGAACTTAAATTCCAACAAATTTAGTACTTCAAATGCTTTCTATTCGCTCAAGCAAAATAAAGGACGACACTTAGACAAAAGTACCTCGGTTACTCAGTGGACCGAATAGCTGCAAAATTCTGGACATGCTGGGAAAGGGACCATTGAAAAGGCATAGAGGGTACTCGACATTTCTGGCTTGCTTTGGTTGTTTCGAAATTTAAATAAAAAAAATCAAAACCGTGTAAGGAAGAAGTTCAAAAATATTAATGGAATTGATAATGCTAAACTTTCATTTATTGCATGCAGAACACTTTCTAGCCTTCTATATTTCAGGAATCTTCACTGCATTTACCGGATCCGGAGTGGATATCTGCATTTTCTCCATCATCACTTTGCTGTTTCGAGTCAGCGAGAAGACTGCCACTCCGACCACCATCGTACTAATGGGTAACTTCGGATTTTCGCCCATCGAGAACCAGTATGGCCATGCACAATTACCTAGAGCGTCTACAATCTAGAGGTGGTGATAACTGGGCTGTGCTCCGTCGTTGCGTGGTTCGAGACGATCCACGTCCTCGACCGAACACAGTATGGATGGTTGATGTTGGTGATGCGTGCAAGATCACTCACTCTTGTTCTCTGACTTACGTCTTTTGCAAACAATAACATATTTCATACCCAGCAAGAACACAACTGAAAGATTAAAAGACTAAAACTGAAACCAGATTCATATTGCCATCGTTCCTCCGTTACGCCCGTTTTACGTGAAAAAAAAACTTGCTTGAAATAATCAAGGAAGAGTCGCGATTCTCCTTGTCATGGCCTCAGTTGTGGACGCTGCGAAGTATGGTTAGAGGTACCTTGAAAACAAGTGTTACTGTTTGCTCGATCCCGAACTCCGAGCAAAACAAGTGCCACTAGCATAAATTATGAATTATAAATCATTGCCGAGTTTAATAGAAAGTCGGTCTTGTCTTGGGAAATCTCCCCACTGCCCTCAAAGATCACCAAATTGATGTCAGGAAAGTCTGGGAAGGCGAAAGCAATGTGTTTATAAATTGCTGACCCCCTAGATGTCATTGTAAACATGTCCCAGATATGCATTCAATCATCTCTATTGAACTAAGTAGGGTCGACTGCGTCGCGCTTCCCTAAAGGATAGATGAATTCCGAATTTTTTATCCTTTATGCTTTACGGCTTTAGCTGCACAAATTTGCTGCTATCAAATACATTGAAAAGCCTTAATGAGATGTCCATTTGATGGGGAAGCTCCAAGTTGTAGTAGTAGTTACTTTCTCGGTGCTGCCAATCACGCAACACTTTATAGTAGGCAACAGGATAGGATAGGATTTACAGGATTTGTTACCAACATCCACTTATCGAGTGACCTTTTCACTTATGAAATCTTAACGAAGATCTAAGACCTCACTCTTGCCTTCTATTCCAGTTTTCCACCAGCACCCTACCTGATAATTTGTCCAAGGCCGATTGGTTCGGTGGTGTTACGCCAGCTTTTTATCTCAGACATATTTCTGAGTGATTCTTTCCCGCACGGTAGCCTAACGACCTCTGTTTGGAGGTAGATGTGCTATTACAACAATAACTACAGGGGCTGTCTACTAATTTCGTTCCTATTTGACATGGTGTGTTAAGTGCCCGTTGAGTTTTTTTTGTAAGATCTGAGTGTCAGGGAGAATATAGAAATGGGTGTTCAACATCCCAACTAACTCAATATCGTGCTGCTTTATTTTTTCCGCACTACTGTTTATGGTGGCAGGCATATAAAATAGCGGTAGCTATGAGCACCGACGTTCTACTCGTCTACCTCTTCCTGTTAGAAACGTTCCATTAAAATTCTCAACTTTTCGTCAGGACTGTTTGTTTGATCAAACCTATCTAACTTTATGCACAACATTCTGCTTCTTAATATATGTTCGAAACATAAACAAAGTCAACGTTTTATTTGATGCCTACTTTAATTGTTACCTCAACCTAACTGGGTTCGATGCCGATTTGTGTCCCCCAGATCAATGGATGATTGTTCATGGCAGCGATAGGTAGAAACTAGCTGAGAGAAACGCAAACCAACCGCCTCCGTGGTGCAGTGTGTAATACACGAGCACCCGGAAAGAGCAATCGTGGTTCGATCTGGCCCGGAGTCCAAGTTTTGTAAATATTTCAGCATCCTTATTGTTGTATTTCACATAAACAAAGTCGTTTAAGGGATGAACTCGGTAATCGGTGTCTACTACCGATCAGTATGGCAAGGCGAAATCTCACCACTCGCACTCGACTATGTCAAAGTCACCGTACCTGTTGCTGTTACTCTGGCTCCGATTGGCAGTTTTGTAGGGTCTCACTTTCACCGAAAAGTCAGCGAATGTTTTAATAGTATTATACACCCAGTGAATATTTTAACGGTATTATACACAAATAAAGAGAATCTCACTCACACCTAGAGCCAATTAGTAAGGGGGAGGGGACTTGACTGACCCCTTTCACAAAACTCGACACTGGCTTCGACGCAGACCAAAAGCGACGAAGTACCTTCCCTGAGGCGAAATAGATTTTTGGAATGGGTTTTCTCTTTCTGTCTCACCGATTTAATACTTTGTATATTTACCCAGACATATTTGAATATACGTTCTTGGGTATGTTATGGGTATTCTTGGGTATGCATACACCTGCGATCAAATGAATGGAAAATACACAGAGAGTGCTCACGAGTCACTACCAACAAAATAGAATCCTATGTCTACTCTGAAACAGATCGGAAATCTATGCGAGGATATACACGCACTACCCTTCCTACATTATACTCCAAACAAAAAGCTATGTGCGGTTATAAATCTATTGAAAAACAAATCAAACGAATTTCATTCCACAAATCTTGAAGAAGCTCTCGATACTACAACATCTTTGAATAGAACGAGCATCGAGAATTTGCTAAAATTTCAGGTTTTGCCACATCACCTGTACCATCTATAGTCCCGTTGATCGTCGAGTGACTCGAGCGGGCGCCAGTAAATCTTCCATTTTTCCCTGTTGCGTGCAAGAGTAGCCCAATGGGTTCTACTCGCTCTAGGGACTCGTCGAGCACCATATCTTTCTTCTAGGCTTCTCGTGGAGAACTCTGACCATCGGGTCGGTGGTCTTCCTGCAATACGTTTGACATCCCGAGGAATCCAGTCACTGACGGCTCTTGTCTACCGGTTGTCATTCATACACATTACGTATCTGGTCTACCTTATCTTCGACTGTTTGGCGTACAGAACGGCATCTTTGATTTTTGGCCGTTGACGCAGGTCGAAGCTTCGGATCTCTTCCCTTACTTGTGCGAAACGGGATACGCCTAGAACCGTCCTTTCGACTGCGCGTTCTATAACGCTGAGTGACCTTCCATTCTGCTCACGCAACGACCAGGTTTCTGACGCATACGTTAGGGCTGGAAGTACCGTTAAGTCGAAAAAGTGAGCACGGAATCGGGTGTTCTTTGATCTTTTCACTACATCCTCGATGCCCTTAAAACTTCCCTAGGTAAACTCGCTTCCATCTGCTCAGCTCTAGAGGTGCAGCATTGGGAGATATTCGTTCCGTTGAACGTGAATGGGGCATACAAAACCAATCCGTTCTTCATGAACATCGTTTTTGTGAGATTTAGTAGAAGATCAATCTTTCCACAGTCTTTATCAAAGTCGTCAAGCATACGTTCCGCTTGGCTAATGTTTGGTGTTTATAAGGACGATGTCATCAACAAAGCGAAGATAGTGTGACTGCCGACCCGTCGATTTCCACTCCCATATTATCACATTCCAATGTTCGCATGGCGTTCTGGAGGGTGGCGGTGAATAATTTTGGAGAGACGGTATCGCCTTTCCAAGCCCTCTTTTGGCGTCAATGTTAATATCGTTGTAGAATGGTGATATCTTGGTTGTGAAATTTTTGTACAGATCACGAAGGATCTTTATGTACTGAGTTGGGACTCCCTGACTATCAAGGGCTTCGATGATTGTTTCTATCTGAATTGAGTCAAAGGCAATTCCCAAGACCGCGAAGACCGACTTTCTGTTAACCTCGGCATTGATTGATAATTCAATGTTTTTCTTCAACAAGCAGACACGAGGTTGTTATTTTAGAGTTTATTAGGATACAAAATCGTTTAAGGGATGAACTCGGTAATCGGTGTCTACTACCGATCAGTATGGGAAGGCGAAATCTCACCACTCGCATTCGACTATGTCAAAGTCACCGTACCTGTCGCTTTCTGTCTTTGTCGCAGTTTCGCCTTCTTCAGAGCCGTTTATTTGTTGTAAGTATTTAAGTTAGCTGGTGGATAGCAGCAGCACAGGTTAATACATGGGCGGTAACTCACCGAAACGTCAGCTATTGTACCCTAATAAATTCTATAATAACAATCTCGTGTCTGCTTCTTGAAGAAAAACATTGAGTCAAAGGCCTTCTTTAAATCAATGGAAGTGAGACAAAGCGGTTTTTTATACTCTCGCAGCACTTTAGTGACCCTTGTTATCGTGTGGATGTGGTCCATCGTACTAATCGTTCAGTGTTATGTCAATCCTGTTTAGAATGACTCGAGTGAAAAGTTTGTAGACGACAGACAGCAAGCAGATTAGGCGACACTAGCCGATATCGTGTGGGCCACCCTTCTTGAAAAATAACATGGTCTTGTTGGCCTTCCACTGAGCAGGGACCTTGCATTTAGACAGGTAACGTGCGAAGAGCCGATCCAGTGTGTTTACGAGGATTGGCGGATGGTTCTTCAGGTGTTCTGATCTTATCCTGTCCGGACCTGGTGCTGTTCGACTTTTCACCGACGAAATGACATGTCGGAGTTCGAAAGGGAGAACCGGTGGTACAACATATCCGTCCTCCTTTATTTCATATGACGGAAGATGGACGAATTTGTCACATCGGATGACTATATTCTTGTACACATTTTAGTCCTATTCTCTTGCATGGCTTATGCACGTTGAGTGGACACTCTTGTACATTCGTATCACGAAGAAGTGCATGAGAGATTGCATGAAGTCGCTATCAGCAAGTAGCTCGTTAATATATCCATCATCATTGCAGGGCGTGACAAATCATTATGGATGTTCTGTTGTCACAACGGTGAAGAAATTGACCTTACAAACGTATGGTGCTCTTCACGCATGATGCTCTTCGTTTGAGCGCAGAACCTACTATGTCAACTATTCTGCGAGATAAGGTAGAATGAGAACGTTACTGTTGCTCGCATGGGTAGCAGTGATAGCCGAACAGGTTCTTTCCTTGAGTAACATGATGGTCCCCATATTTTATTCTGAACGTCTTCGTGAATCGGAAGTTAGGCCAAAAATGTCGACCCAAATACGGGCATCATTTGCTTGAGAAGCTTTCAGTACTCCAGTGCTGTTTCTATAAAATATGACTGTATCCGTCCGTATGAACGTCTAATATGAACAGTCTATATCAGCCATCATTATGCACATTTGATGAGTACCTCTAATTTGCCGGTAAGGTGGAAAGGTTATGCCATGCCTCCTTATTTTAATTAGCTTAAAAACGTTTAATAAAGGTGTTGAGAAGCTGAGATTGTAGTAGTTTGATAAGTCGTCCTTTATCGAGCTTGCAACTAGGCTCACACCTTATGAGGACATCATGAGGGAAGAATCGGTTGGTTGGTCGTTGGCAGCACACTGATCATTATCACTATCGCAGAGTTCCTCCTTTAAACTTGATGTCGTTAATAATAGGTACTTTAGTGCTTATAGTTCCTCATATCAACAATAGTAACGTCCGACTATCCTTTTGATAATCCGAATCCCATGTCCATTGTTTCTGAAACTTCGTGCATTGTGCTCTGCTGCTTGCATCACTTTTTGTTGACTAAGTATTCATCGTTTGCAACGACCGCAATGACAACCAAAACCTATAAAAATCCATACCCTTCGAAGCGAAAGGGTCCGCCAATGCAGCTGTTGAGAAACTCGAATGGTCGCAGAAATGGCTGCTTAAAAGGAGTGAACTCCACTGATTTCTCAGTTATTAAGAGAAAAAACTTAAAGCTTCAGAAAAAGCCTTCCCTTTGTCGGAACCTTTTTTGCAACGCTAGTCTCTACCCCACACAGTCAGTCCAATTATCGTTATCAAATGCATCGTTATATTTTCAATTGGTGTTTCCCACTTTAGTCTAGTTTGGTTTCTTATTTTTACTGGATGAGCATTTTGGAACGATAGGAATCTAATGAAGAACAGCCATGCATAGTGAACCGTCGCTGCTTCGTCCCCACTCTCCGTCTCAATAGGCCCTCTATCCCTCGGTGGTGGGTAAATGGGTACCATGCTTGTCTAGGAACATAGCAGAACTGACCTGATGTATCGGTGGGACACTTCAAGTCCATATATGCATTCAGTCACCACTAACAAACCTTGACAAATTCGAATACTTGGCGCATCCTTCATGGATTGATTAACGTCGAAAGCTGTGCAATGTCCATATGTCCTCTTTACTGGATCGAAAGAGCTTCTTCCTTATACCACATTGCGGATTCCTTACACACTCTCAGTAGTGGAGCTACTAAAACTTGTAGCCAAGGCAGGTCATTGGTTTTTGTATGGATTAACCCGCTGTATAAGCGTGCTCAAGAACGTGGCTAGCTGAGTAGAACAGCAGCCATTTTTTTTTAACTGCGGGCTTTCCTGCTTTTTGACAGTAAGGATACTTTTCCAACATATAGAGCGCTTTAAGGGTGTGAACATGACAGGAACATAAAAGAGACTTTGCTCTATCGCTTTACAGTTATGAATGAAATGCATATAACTATTTACTGTGCGTTAGTATGGTCCGTTATGCGGATAGAAATTCTTGTCAGCACATGGAATTACTTCGCATCACATCCATCATACCTTGAGTCTATTTCGAGGTCTTCATATTCACAGATTCCATACTATAACCATAGTGAATAAGATGAAATAACGGCTGATCTTAACCCTTTTATTTACTGCCTTTTCCTTTTTAATGGCAGGGTATGTTGCGAAATATAACTCGTATGCAATGCTGATTGCAAAACTCCGGACCGCAGGTGTATGCGATGGGGAATGAACACGCGCTGTTGTCCTTACCGGGGAGCAGCGCACTTCACCACTACGCCATTCGGGTCCTTCGTTTTGCCTGTCTCTCAGCTAGTTCTATCGATCTTTTTGCAATTAGCAATCACCCGTCTGATTATTAACGGCTGATCATTAGTCGAACTAGTGACCAATGACCTTTTTCGAAAAAAGGATATTTTTCAAATCACCGAGTGTAGAGAATGGTCCCACTGGTCTCACCCGTACTATATTGATCTGCTTTCGATGTGGTATCGAATAAATATACATAACGGGGCGGTGATGGCGCAGTGCTTAGTGATGCGGTCGATCAGGAAGCAAAAGCAGCTAGTTCGAACACCTCTTCAACGCTCTTCTCCAATCCACGTAGAAACGCCTTTTTCCGGCTATCCCCAAGATTGCAAAAGGAAAGTCGATTTGACCTTCATTCTACGGTATCAATTCCTCAAGCAGCAGCCGAGACAACGCGTTAAATATTCGACCACCACAGTGGACAATGAGGACGAGGAAAACGAATCAAACGTAAGAAGCGCTGAGATTCCGCAGTAAATGTGATTACGGGTTGATTGCAAAACAAAAAAAAATGCATGGTACGCTAAAAGAAGATTCTGGAATGCAACAAACAGGAAATTAACACAGTAATGTCCATCCACGCCGTTTTCCAAACGCGCTGTGGACACTATAATGTCCATATCGTCCTACGGCTTAACAACCTATTCACGCCCAATCCAGAGCTTTACATCTTCTTATATGGTTTGTTCATAGAACTTATGGAATTTTAAAGTAAACGCGCGTAGACGTAATTTCAGAAGTCGAATTTGTACAAACCAAATTTTGGCGTAGAAAAGGGTTCTAGCGCGTTGCAAGCAGACCTCATTTCTAGCTGGCCTTTATCAACTGAAGTAAGATAGCTTGGGACTGTGGGCCCACTCAGTTTTAACTCTCTAATAATCGATTAAATCCTTACGAGTTCGTAAGGAAAGTGAATAAGTTTCCGAAAACTAAAACACAGTAGGACTATCTTTTCCTGAAGTGCTATATGTTATGTTCACTAATGAATTTATCAGTTCATCATTGTTTTAATTGTAGGTTTTAGCGAGTTTCATCTACGTGTTGGAGGGTCTAGCCGTCGCCGGTTTTTTGGCCGCAAAACCTCCTCTTACCCTTGGTGAGCCAATTTCCTTGTATGAGAGCGTAGCAGAGACATTTTCGGTTTGCAGTGTTGACCGGGGCGTGCATCCTTGCAATCGGCTTCATGTTTTTCTTGCTCATTAGCAAGATTGGTTCTCGAATAATGATGAATATTGAGGTCAGTTTGTTCTAAAAATCTGTGCAAGCTCATATTTTGCCTTGTGTTTTGAATTCTTCCCATGTGTTATCCATCGCATCAACCAAGGCCTTAGCTTTTCTTTCCTCTCAGCTAAAAAAAGAAACTGGTCGAAAGAAAGGAGAAGCAAGGCCCTCGGTTAGTGGATAACCATTACCCTTTATTCTTTATTGATGGCTAAAAGATCCTCGTTTGACAAGTGAACCGTGTCTAAATATGTATGCATTTTCAAAGCCTCTCTCGATCTACTGCTGACATCCAGGAAAGAAATGTATAGAATTAATAGTTAACAAATACTAAAGTATTGCAAACTAACTCGACTGTCTGCCGAACGTTCGATTTTTTTCCGTTTTCAAGATGTTTAACGAAGCAAGAAGAGCTAATGTTTTGAATTTTTCAGAACGAGAAGAAAACCGATGAGAGTGAGGACATGCTGGCGGCGTAAAAGTGGCTTCGTAAACGTTGACCGCAAAGGTTGGTTGGGGATGAGATGGATGGGTGAGACGGGTTCGTGGCTGCCCAACAACCGCGAAGCTCTCGAATGTTTATAGGCGACACAGACAATCTTCGTTGCTCTAGCGACAGGCATCCGAGCTCTGATGGCATGTGAATGTATAGAGCGATTAAATCTTCACATCGGTATAGGACTTTGAGAAATAAGCAACACTTTTTCGTGATTTTCTAAATAGCGTACCAACGCACGGTCGACGTGTATTGACTTCAACGCACGAGTGTTTAAAACTAATTCAATACTTGAACATTAAACAAATGTATCTCAGCTTGTGCAGAACTTTGTTGACTAAGATAAAACCGTTAGAATACATCTGAGACTACTACCAATCTGCTACAAGCCTTCTTGTTTTTCTATGGTAAGAGCCTGCTTTTTGGACTCCAAAAGCACATATTTCTCACACATTAATCCATAATTCCGTAATTCGGCTCCTACTACAAGTACTGCAGCAGTTGAGCAACGTTCGAGAAACGCGTCAGGTCGCAATGATATCCTTCACCGTGTCGATACTACCGCTGTTTCAAGTGCTTCAGAAATTTTAAAAATAAAAGTTCTATAGTTCCCAGGATCGACTTTCTATTAACCTTGGCATTGGAATATGAATGTGTCGTTTTCTTGTTCACCAATCGCGGTTTTTAAACAGCATACATTTACTTCCATAGAGAAACACAATAGGATATAACAGTAGCTGACGTTTCGGGAGTATCGCCTTCTTCAGAGTCGCTTTTTCGTGACTGTTCTAAACTTCCTCATTGGAATGTTTGGCACTGGAGAATAATGGACTTCACGTTCCAGTCAACTGCTATCGGATCATCGAAAACGCAAATAACTTATTGGGCAGCTCCAGTGCTTATAAAGAGTTAGTCCTCTTGTTCGACGTAATGTCGGACTCCTGCCTGAGCACCCTGCGCCCACGTGTCGCATGCGTCGCGCCCGGTCCAGGTTTAGGCGCGAAAAGTCGTCGTCGGCGCTTGGCAGCTCGCCAAGTAACACAAATCTCATTTGTTCCAGGATGACGCAATGGGTGAAAGGACTGATATATCGTACTCATTTACCAATAAAACCACTGGTTAACGTTGGATCAACCCGCTGTAACCGCCGCCAGTATACATTTCCAAAAACTGAGCACATGCAACTATTCAAAATTTAGATCCTTTGTAGTAAACTTCAGTGATCAGCACGTATCTTCACTTCTCAGTTACCTCTCACTCGTTGTAAACTTCACTACACATTCAATAGACTTACAAGACCATTTAACTATCAACAATAACGAACACTTTATTTCACGAGCAAAGAAAAATTCATTTACATCTCGCCAGTTGTGGCCCTAATGAGGGCCGTTGGGTTAGTATTGGGCGATGATTGCGCACGGCCGGTTATGCTCGTTCTCCTCGAATTCGACGGGCGAGCTGGATGTCCTTGGGCATGATTGTCACACGCTTCGCATGAATCGCGCACAGGTTCGTGTCCTCGAACAGTCCGACCAGATAAGCCTCAGAGGCTTCTTGAAGGGCCATCACAGCCGAGGACTGGAATCGCAGGTCGGTCTTGAAATCTTGTGCAATCTCTCGCACAAGGCGTTGGAATGGCAATTTGCGGATCAACAACTCCGTTGATTTCTGGTAGCGACGAATCTCCCGCAGGGCTACGGTTCCAGGGCGATAGCGATGGGGCTTCTTCACACCACCGGTGGCCGGCGCTGATTTTCGGGCGGCCTTCGTGGCCAGCTGCTTCCGTGGAGCCTTCCCTCCGGTCGATTTGCGGGCGGTCTGCTTGGTACGGGCCATGCCAGAACGATTGTTGGTGAACGACGCGTAGCCTCCCGCCACTACTTATATAGAGCCAGTGCTGAGGGCGGAGCCTATTTGTTGCGGTCACGTCGCCTGCGGATGCGCGTAAGCGGGTGCTACGACTCTATCATAATCGGTGAAACAGACAATTTGGAAGGAGAACGATAGAGAGAGCAATACTAATCCGCAGTCCGTTCATAACATGGTAGTACATCGATTGAGTAGGAAATGACCATGTCGCATTTGTACTCCTTTGAAATGCTGGGTAACTGAATATTAGAACCCATTTCTCTCATAGGCGCTGACGAAATTGTTCTACTAAGACATGGAAAGTCTGGGCAATGCTTGACTTTGTTCTGACAGCGTTTTAGTTACCACTGGGAACACTTCGAAGGATTCATCCTAGAAAGCTTCCTAAGGACGCCACTCGAAGTTTTTAACCTTTTTCAGGATACGAATACAAAGTCTGTGCCTTTCGTTTAATCACAGAGTGAGCTACTGTGATTCTAGACATTTTAGCGCAAACTTTGTGATGTGAGGCATTTTCTTCTAAAAGTGTTTCAGCACCAACACAGTTGCCAACAGTCGGCGTTGATTGACTATGGGTGTGACGAGATACGCTGCAAAAATAAACACCACTTGAAACGGCGGTGTTAGAAAAATACCCGAAACCAGCAACCCTGGCAAAAGATCGAATTTTTTAACCCTAATATTTGGTACCCAAAATAACCGTCCTTTAAAACCTATTAGGAGTTCATTATCTACCTCTTTCTTCCTATCGATCCCTTCCTATCCACTGTGACTTCTACTGTATGACGGAGATTTGTATTAAAACTTCATGTTCATTTCTATACGATGCATTCTCCCATAAAACACATCGTAGCGCTCTGAGCGCCCGTTACCCGAGGAGAGTAGGGTCACTTGGCGACTCGCCAAACGCCGGCGACGCCATTTCGCGCCCAAATTTGAGCGTCGGGGGGACGCGTGTGATATGTGGACCCACAGCGGTCACTCAAGAGGCCAACCTTGGGTCAAACAGCGAGACTAAGTCTTTATGAGCAATAGGATTTTCCAATAAGTTATTTGTGTTTTCGATGAGATGATAGTAGTTGGTTGAAATATGAAGTTCATTATTCCGCTGGCGTGACAAACGTTTCAGTGGGTATTTCTTTCCTCCGAATTTAAAAACAACCCTATCAACGGGCAACTCCAATCAGCCAAATATTTGTCTCAGCCGGCCAGAGACTTTAGTTTTGAGTCGCACAGTAAATATTTTTATAAATGCCTTGCGCTTCATTCATGCGTCCGCGTTTTCATTGAGCGTAGCTGATCGCAGAGTTTCAACCACTGAAATGATTCAGAATAGGCAGTTCCGATCCCAACTTCCAGAAAAACCTCTTCATGTCGTTTTATCGCAATCATTCCAGCTAATTTTGAGGCTTATAGTGCAATGTTGATGGACTTCTTTAACGCAAAAGTTCAGGGATCACTTCATTACCCGCTTCTCTACACGCATACACTGTTTTCCAGTAATCATTGTTAGTAAACAGTAATGCTCTTCGTACGCTCATCGAATCTGCTTATCGAAAAATTCGTTCGTTTAAACAGAGGGTTTTAAGGGGAGCCATGTCCAACTTCGCAGAGTTGCCTCCATCAACACACTCACGGTTGAGCTTATTCAAATGTGGGAGAGTAACGACGGTAAAGCCAATCAACGGGTAGGTGGTGTACGGCGCCATACAGTAAACTTAGCGCAGCTCAGCGAAATGTAGTAATAACATTCAAGGTAAATGCAGTATACTTGAGTGGTCATTGAGAAATAGTGTATAAACGGGTAGTCGGGAGATGTAGACCGAAGTACTGCGGATCTGTGGTTATCCTTGAATGAAAAAAACCAAGCGCTTGCACTGTTGTAACCCCCACAACTTCTCAAAATGCTCACTAGCAGTTATCGCATGGACCCTGACCTCATAGTCTGTTTCCGAATTTTTTGTAAATCCGCGGCAATCAGTACACCCTGTTATTTTAGACGTCACTCCACCTGTACAAGAAAATCGCTTACCACCAACCGAAAACATTGACAAAATCACAGATTTGGTCTTCTTTTACATACTTGCTTTCTACATTCTCTACAAATGTACTTTAAGCAAGCAAAAAAGTAAATCTATTTCAATTATTCCAATTATAGCCTTTAAGACAGGGCCACTGGATTTTCTACGGTTTGCAGGCAGCTCTTTTTCTTGACATGTTCGCATTAGGTAACAGTGTCAAATTACCTTCTCCAAGAACACCTTCAGAACTCCATGAGTCTCCTCGTAGATTAGTCCAGAGATACGCTTCACACCACCACGTCGCGCTAGGCGGCGAATTGCCGGCTTGGTGATGCCCTGGATGTTGTCTCCTAGTACATCGCGATAGAGTTTCTTTCCTCCTTTTCCATGTGCATTGCCCCCTTTTTCACAACCAAACATGGCGCTAATCGAACAACCGCGAAACGAACGAGTGATTTGGTGACCACCGCCGGAGTGCCACTAGTATAGTTATCCACAGGGTTCGTAAGCTTCAACCCTACCACCACAATTAGGCTGCGGGTGATCACCGTTACCACATTTTTTGGACGGTTAGAATGACTTTGAACAGAACGAAATACTCAATGAGAAAAGGCGTCCTGTGTTTACGAAAGAATATGTTGACATCTTTATTTAACACTTAGAGAAAGATTTAAACAAGTATTTCTTTCGACTTCACACCTCAGGAAGATGTGCGAGTGGGTGGGACGATATAATCCTAGAATTTGGTCATTTGCGGCTTTTCCCTATTCCAATCTCCATAGACGTCATGTATGAGAAGACAGTCTTTCACCATAGCAACCTGATCGTCAAAATATTTGACAAACCGAAAAGATTTATTTTGAAGTGAAAGAACAACAGCGGTTTAACGACCCTTATCGATACGAAAATAGATCGTAGCTCCCAAGTAAATGTATCAAACAACAGGTAATTCAATGGATTTAGTTTTATATATTTGACATTAAAGTTGGTAATAATCAAGTATTTTGTAGTATATTTGTAGCCGTATTTAAAGTATTGATGAGCGTTCCTCCCAACTGTTTAACACCTCATCCTGGATGGGAGGTGTTCCTGGGTGTCGGGCTCCGATGTACAGCAAGAAATTCATGCGCCAGCAGGGTCTTCCAGGCTGAGAAGTAGTCCGACGTTTCCATCAGGAACCCCAATTAAGAGTAAAAAAGTAGTCTAGTAAAACTAGTACGAGGATCCATCACCATCCTATCAATATCAAATTAGTCGCATGTTAACAAATCTCCCTCTGATCCACGAGGGCGGCGACTACCCGTGCTAGTGATGACCTGGGACAGACTTTAGCCAGGCTGTCCTCGAGACTCCAAGGAACCATAATGATTAAACCAGCAAGACTCCGAAGAATGAAAATTATGCTGGACCCCACACACCAATGAAGACGGGCCATCCAAGTATCCAAGTACTGATGAGCGCTGGATCAGATTAGCGCGCACTCAGGGGTCGATACACAGTCGTCTGCTCTATTTGACATTTTATTGTACGCTCATGGTTTTGATTTGTAGGACTTTCTTTCGTGGACTGTGGAAAGAGCATGTGGGCACTATGAGGAAAATAAAGAGATCATTTGAAACTAAGCTGGTAGATCAAGACTGACTTATCGTAAATGCACTCAGGAAAAATTTCTCGGAAGGTGGTTAACGATGTGAATCATTTTCTTAAACGTTCGTTAACAGAACAACAGCACTGAGTCCATGCATTCACCATACTTTCATTTGTTTGCGCCTGTGAGCTCTTGAGTTTAAGAGAACTGACTAGTTCCGTTAAAGGCCACTCTAGTAATATCTAAAACAGACCAACTATTCTTAAAATGGCTCACGAATAACCCAAAAATATCTTCGGCTCTAAAGGCCGGAAATACTCAAAGGTAGAAAATATATGTACACAGGGAGAACAGTGTGAAGGTTTCGAATAGTAAATATGCGCTTTTCTTGAAGACAAGAGTGCCGGAAAGCGGAATCGCATTTCACTGACGTTCAACCTGCAGTTATGTCAAAACCAATCAAAAAACGAAAAATCATCCATTTCGATCCTTCTCATCCGATCACATGTGAATTCACGTACTCGGTAGCGAATGTAGCCCTCAAGGGGGTCATTAGATGAGGACTTTTAACAGATTGTGGACCAATACAACACTATTTAGAGAACATTCTGAATATGTAGCCGCACTTGTTTTGCATAAAAATTGACCCACTTTTCGATCTCATTCTGACCCACTCCTGGGCCTTGTTTGGCAGGTCAGCAAGTGACACGGCCACCGTTAAAAAACAAAGGGTACAATCAATTGGAATGCTGATTATGCAGTACATGGTTAGCCACTAGCACTCAGAACATTGAAAGGCGTATATTAGAAGATACATAGGTGTAATAGACAGATTTTTATGTACTCGAAAGCCTACTGCTAGATTTTAAAGGTGTGCCAGCCACTAGGGTTAAAAAGGTGCGCCTTTTTTTCTTCAGCGTTTCTGGTTTTCGACTTCTCTCTAATATCACTACTTTAAGTGGCGGTTGTTTCTGTGGAATGCCTCACACCAGGGATCAGTCAATAGCAACAATGGGCAACTAAGCTGACACTGATGCAGTTCCAAAAAGTTTCTGTTAATCGTGGCATTAAGAGGGCTCCACTGGTGCAAGGAGTATCAGGTGAGCCCCCGAAAAGGGTGATCATAGGTTCAAATCTGGCCTAGGGTTCATGTTTTGCAGGTATCTTGGCATCATAGAGGTTGGATCTCGTCTTTGTGCAATAAATTACCTTTCGACGATCTTGCCTTTTTCAGAGCCGTTTTGTTCACTGCAAGACTTTCAGTTGTTTGATGGAGATCAGGCGCATAGAGTCCTAAATAGTGAGGAATCTGATGTAGGCAAACCGACGAAACCTCAGCCAGTATTGACTAAATCTTGTAATTATCGAGTTCTTGCCAGTTAACGAAGAGAACTCTGACTTCTGAGCTTAACAGCATTTCTACTTCGAAAAGAGGAGAAATCAAAAGGCGTTCGACGTCGATACTATGAACGGGTTGCGAATTAGCATTACTCCTTTTAAACTTTATCACCAGAGGAGCATGACAAGGAATAAAAACTTGCTACGTATTTTTCCAGTGGTACAGTTGTAATGGTCTACTTTAGTTGTTGGATGACTACGATCTGCTGGTAGTTCGAATCGCGCACCTTTTTGTGCCAAGCAATTTACCCAGTCTAACAAACAGTCGACAGCATTGCAGTGTATATTGGAGGTTTTGATTTCAATTTGTTGATTGGATAATTTTTAGTCGACTTGTCTTCACTTATTTTTCTTGCCTCTCAATTGGTTTTTTAAAATTAATTTAATTTGCTTAATTTTTTTTTAGTACAAAACTTGTCTGGTAGGATAGAAGCACTGGCTCGATACATCGGTAGGCCACCCCGAGCACTTGTAAAGGCCAGATATGCATTCATTCACCTCCAAACGATGCTTAATGAAGTCGAATGCATGGCGCGTCTCTCAGGAGTCGATCAACGCCGACAGCTTTAACTTCTATTTTTTATGTTTAATTTTTTTATTTTAATTTATCTAATGACAAGTTGCGTTGAGAGACATTCACCGGCGCACAGTCCATGAACACTGAGCAACTCTGAAGAACTCTTCTCTATAAATTACCATGTCTTCATAGGGAAAAGCTCTAAACAAGCGCCGACTTCCAGTGTTTGAACAGAGGAATGTCTGCTCCACTTCACCAGGCATTCCCTCTTTGCTGCACGCTCTCCTCAGCAACGATGGTCTTTAGCTGCCAAGTGAGCTCGTCCGAAGAATGGTTTTTTTTACAAAAGATAACACGCGAAGAGAGGAGTTTTCTTGAGCCACAGCTGGCATAACATCTGTGCAGGCCAAACCATCAATTGGCCGCAAAAAGTCCGGTGATAGAGATCTGCGTAGGAAATTCAACCCCTGAGGAGGACTTGCGTATGGTATAACGCAGATGTTCGCTCTAGGGCCAACATAGGGCCAAGAATCTGAGCATGCAAACAACTAGCGCTTTCTTGAGCAACGCCAAGATTTCCTAAAGTAACAAAGGAAATCAATGTTTTAGAGGTGCATGTGAACTCATTTGGTAGCTCAGATTGACACCTTGACGTTTCTTGTTTCGTCACCCTCCAACTGTGCCGTATGAATTCTCCAAGGGGTTAAACACTTTTTTATGAAAAAACGAAAACTGGGGCATATCGCTGCGTCAGATGCGAGCAAACAACAGATAGAAAAGCAAGCAAATCTTCTTTCACTGGACCATTGCCACACCTCAGAGGAGTTTATAGAAGAGAATGAAGAGGGAGTCCATCGTGAATTGCTTTCGATGCACCACTAAAACACCGCTAAAGTCAAAATCGGGCTTATTTTATCGTTGATTACTGACCGGAAAACTCTTAAACGATTAGGAAGTATTGCTGGGCTCAAGTGATCATTGCGTTCTTGAATTACAGGTCCCACTGCTCAACAAGAGATGGTCCGACATTCTTTGCTCTTTGCATGATTGGAATTCCGGTGAAGAATTTCGATCCTGCGCTCTCATTTGGTGAGCCTTTTCTGTTTCCCCAGTAGTTTTAGGAGGTGTTGAGAATCCAATATTTTCCCAATTTTAAACGACATTCATTTGACTTATCCAACGATGCCTGCGCATGTACTATGGACGAGGCCGTTTGGAGTGATGGTGTGATATTGGTTTTTTTTCGTGCGCTTTCCCCGGATGACTCATTAACGCAGGGTCTTTTTTGGCATAAAAGGACAGAGCTCACGGTGATGATCAATTCTTGAGGGCTGTGCATTCGACTCCATTCATAGCATCGTAGAGGTGATTTAACGTATATCTGTACAATGACTTGCAATGGTCTACCGATATCTCTAGTCAGTGATGCCTTCCTCCGAGACAAGTCCGCTACCAATTTGCCGACCCCGAAGTGATAGAAGGCTTGGTGATCTTTTGGCCAGAGATCGAACCAAACATCAATTCACTCTACGTTGCAGGACTTCTTTGACTACTTCCTTTTTTGATTTTTCTGAAACATCAGTGACGAACGTACGAATTTAGCCGGACCATAAATTTCGACTATTAATCATAAAAAACTAATAGATTTTTTGTGAAGGATGAGATCCGTTCTAGGTTTCGTGTCTGTGTATTATTGCAATGACGGGCGCGCGGTAGGCGCAGTGCTAGTTATGTCGTTCAATACACGTGGGAGCCACTAGGTCAACCTCGCACTATGCCAACCAAGCATTTCTTCTTTACGGGGGCAGGGAATTAGTGCCAGACCTCTCTGGAAAGCCTTTCCGGTTCGAAACACCTAGAGATATCCTAGCACGGCTGTTGCGAGATTTCAGGAAGATTAACCTCGAACAGTATTCA